GACAATTTCACATACCTCCGTTAGATTAAGCTTCCATGCTGTCTGTAGATAATTCATTTTCAGTACCGTACCTTCGGTTTGCAGTCTATCGCTAGGTTCACTACTCACAAACCCATCCCTAAATTAGACAGGCGAGTAAAAGTAATAAAAGTGCACGACGGAGCATTCGAAGTGAACGTGAGCAGAGTAAAGGATGTTATGGCACACTGTGAAAATCCCTGTACCCATGTTGCAAGTTGCAGTTATGTACTCTATATAGTGTTAATTTTGTTTACATGTTTATTTATTTAGGTTCTATACACAACCAGAATTAGTCATCTAGGCACTGAATGACTTGATAACAAAATCAGCCAGCAAGCAGTAGCTCATTGAACACCCCTTCATGATCGTGCAAGGGGATCTGCAGGGAGAACGAAATGTAATTTACTAAAGGTGATGATAACTGTGGGAGGAGCTAGGAACAACGTCAGTGGGGTGATTTATACAACCGCTAACACCAGGTGACTATGGTCCCTTCATTTCAAGGATGTTTTTAGAGCTCAAAAGAGATGAAGTGAGGTCGAAGATGGGTGGTCGTGGTCGTTCAGGTTGCTCACCTAATTCAAAATTTATGTGAAGCAGTTCTCGAGGAATACCAACAAAGCAAAGGTATGACCTAGCGATTCGCTATGAATTGTTTGCTCTTCTCCTTCACCTGATTACACTTACCAACGCTAACAGCCCCCTAACGTCTGCTAGGAATACGGTATCCGGGTACGGCCCCATGTATTTGTAAGTGAATCTTAAATGAAAACTGACAAATTATTGTTGCTTCCTTTACAGCTACACACGATACATTACCCGTACACGGTAAGGTTCATTTATTACCCCCTAAAGCTTTCCAGAACTTCTTGAGTTCTTCGAGAAACGGCGAATTTTCGCAAATCAAAGTGGGAATGGCGATTGCTTAGTATTTGATTTGTAATGCAATCGATTCCTATTAGTTCTTTCTCTTCTGAAGGCACATTTCACGATAATTTTGGGGTGCCCAGCTTTGGATTGGAAGTGATTGTATGGAGCGGAATTGGAAAAGAAAAGGCGGAAGTTGGCGTAATTAGAAAGATGTTTGGCCCAAAAAAGTAGTAAAATTAGGGGTTGTACGAGAATGTGCCGACAAACGTTGCATTGGAGAGGCATTTGGACAAGCTGTCCAGGTGTATGCACCATTGCATGCATCCAAATACAGTAACTGTCTGTGTGCAACATGCGCGTGACGACGCAAGTGGTGCAACCTTCACTACCCCTACAATGTCGTTAGAACTCGTCCGAATTTGGGTGTGTACGTCGGCTAAGCCAGTTTCGTGACCCTTACTATGCCCTACCCGAGTAGTTTTTCGACACGGCAGCGTCCTCTGGCAATCTTTGATGGTCACGTGTTCATCCTAAGATGAAATCAGAAACTACTTTTGTCGTGAACTACGCCTTTGATACTTCTCACAGGAAGGAAAGCAATGCTGGCAATGCTGATTCCCTCGCTACCGTGGGTTCGACGCTATGGTCAACTTGCAAGCATTGTAACAGCTCGCTAATCCCCAACAGTTATGGCACAGAGAAACCCTTCATAAAGAGGATGGAGATCTCGAAAAGAAAAAGGGCTCGGGAGTGGTATTCCACCGTAATCCATGTGTCGTACTCTACCCCGTGCCCCTATTTTGACGGAAGATCAGAAATGCTTTTTTTCTCTAGAAAATCACTAGTTTTAGAGCAAGATATTAGGACTTACTCGATGTTTCCAAAAAGTCTTTCGGTGTTTGTCCTTCGAGTGAATTCAGCAGCACTGTGACTCATTGGGTAAAGATCGAAGCTGCAAAACTATCTTTCTAGTCTCGACGAATGGCAATAATGTAGATTTCCGAAAACTGAATCACGAAACAACTACCGTAAGCTCAATTCGAATGCTACCACTTTGTTACCTTATAAGTTACCAGAGGTGGAAGAGGTGGTGGGGGCACCCGTATTGGACGTCTCTATATCGGAACAATAAACAGCCGATCTATTTCAACAGCAGCACGCCAAATCGAACTTGACAACGCCATGGAGAAGATCAAATGCGGTTTGCGCGGAGTAACAGAAGCCAGGATACCACACAGCGTGAGCTATTAATTACCGTCAGACCGTGAGTTGTACAAAGTTCGATCCAGTCTCTTACGATTACGACATGGATTCCATATGAATACGTGGACCGAAGAGGGCGAGGACACCCTTGTATTCAATGGCGCGATGAGTTTTCGAAGAAGATCGAAAAAACTGGTGGAGTATGACGAAGGAACAGTCCAATCAGGCCATGATACAACATTCGAATATGTGAAGTGATAATGCTCTGAGCAAAAACCTATAACTCCGGCTGATAGTGATTTTTGTTGGATTTTGGGATTCTTGATCAATTTACTCTAATTCGTACGCAAAACTTTGTGCTGAAAAGGTTTATCTCGATATTGTATTGCCTTGTATTACCACTGGAAGGTTTTCACAAACGGTCATCATGAGGAAGAAAGGGGTCCGGTGTCTTCTCCCAGAACTGTGCGTCGCTTCCGCTGCACTCTCTGCATATAGTAGAAATGCTATGAAAGATGGGAGCGCGCAATCTGTAAGATAGGGAGTCCTTTAATCATTTGAATGTGCTGACCGCTCCCCTCAGTTTCAATGCGGTCTTGATCGTTGATAATATATGTAAAACGAGTCATTCCAAACAATCAGGTCTAACGAACCCAAAACAAAAAAGAAACAGAAAGAAACAACCAAAACCAATTAAAAAAGAAGGGCAGTCAACAAAAATATGCTGTCTCATCGATTGACCGGGTACGGGCTGAGTACGGTAATTGCCGCGTTGGAAGCCCGCGAGACAACTAAAAAAGATTGTCGCATACATCATAGCGGACGTGGGAAATCGGGAGGGGGGACGGTACGAACGTGCGTCCGAGGGTGCGCGCGGCAAGTTGCGCGGCGAAGTTCGTGACGATTTGTACGACTGCGGCACCAATTTTTGGGGCGCAAACTCGAAGTAGTGTAGTTCAGTAGGGTCAGATGATCCTCCTAATCCATTCGATTTCGAATTTGGGCCCCAATGATGGGCTTCAAAGTCGTTCAAATCATTACGAA